TGCAGTTCCTGAGCAGGTTCATACCAAACCTCGCGGAATGCGCAGCCAACCTATGGGATTTGACAAAGAAATCCAGTGAATTCCAGTGGTGCCCAGAGCATCAGTCTGCCGTAGACAGCATCAAAGGCATGATTTCATTGTCTAATTTACTACAGTATTTCGACAACACCAACCCGGTGATTATCCAGGTCGATGCCTCGCAACGCGGCCTTGATTCAGGACAAGGGCCCAGTCGAGTACAGAAGCAAGCTCCTGTCTGATACAGAGACTCGATACTCCAACATCGAGAGAGAGATGCTAGCCATTGTACATGGTATTGAGAAGTTCCACTACTACGCGTACGGACGACACGTTGTTGTAGAGACAGATCACAAGCCGCTGGAGGCAATATTCAAGAAACACCTCTCCAGCGCCCCACCTCGTATCTCCAGGATGATACTCCGGGTATAGAAGTTCGACGTTGAAATTAAGTATGTCCCTGGGAAGGATATTCCACTAGCTGACGCCTTATCGAAAATAAGTCCATGCCCAGGTGACACGGTACAAGGGCTAGATGTTTCTGTTCACGAGCTGCACCTACTCTTGAATGCTAGCCCCACACGGATTGAGCAGATCAAGGACGCAACAAGCAAGGATGACGTGTTGCACTCTCTCAGATCCCTCATCACACAGGGATGGCCTAGTAAGAGATCAGAGTGTCCTACACACCTTCATGCGTATTGGAACTATCGTGACGAACTGACTGTTGCAGACGGAATAGTTCTAAAAGGCACACGCATCGTCATTCCTGCAGCATTACAGCTTGCTGTGCTAGAACAACTGCACTACGCACACCAAGGTGCTGAGAAATGCAAACTTCGTGCCAAAGGATCCGTATTTTGGGCCAATATCATCAAGGACATAGAGGAGATGGTCAAGGACTACCCTCCATGTCAGCACAACCAGAAGGCCAATATGAAGGAACCCCTAATGCCACATGATGTCCCACCGAGGCCATTGCACACACTGGGATCCGATTTGTTCTTCTGGAACAACAGCTCCTACTTGCTGGTCTCAGACTATTATAGCAAGTTCTCATTGGTCAGAAAGGTGAACAACATTCGTTCTGACACAACAATCGCTCACATGAAGTCGATCTTTGAGGAGTATGGAATTCCGAGCAAGTTCGTTACAGGCAACGATACACAGTTTATCTCAGCTCTATTCCAGAAATTCAGTGAGACCTACGGATTTGACCATGTTACCACAAGTCCATACTACCCACAGGCAAATGGTTTCATAGAGAGGACTGTGCAAACTGTCAAAGCTCTGCTGCAGAAATGCAAGGAGTCGAACACAGACCCACATATGGCTATGCTGTGCCTAAGAAGCACACCATTACAGCATAACATTCTCTCGCCAGCAGAACTGCTCAACTCAAGAGTCTACCAGACCAATCTTCCAGCAACGCGAGCAGCATGCACACCGTGCCTAGTCGATGGTGACACTAATGCGAAGCTACAAGAGAGGCAGGAGAAACAGAAATTGCAGTATGACAAGCCATCTAAGACACTATCTGTGCTCCACCCAGGTAATTCTGTACGTGTACTAGATCCCCACAGCCATCACTGGGAACCTGGAGTGGTGAAAACCAGTGAACATAATCGCTCCTATGTTGTGGCGATAAATGGAAGCAGGCGGAATTGACGCCAATTGCGACCTACAGGAGAAAGCTTCAGCAGCGGCCAGGCAGATATCACATCAGAGCATGCACCAGTGCTCCCATCGCCTGATCCTCTGCCTGCTAGAGAGAGGAATATCGCAGGAACGCACTTCACCTCCAGCTATCCCGATTCGTCGATCAGCCAGAAAAGTGAAGCCACTTGAAAGATTAGACTTATGAACATTTTCTGTAGAGCCATATCATTGTTTTTAGCTCATCTGACATAGTCAGATGCAGCTTGTAGAATCGCATGATCGTCCGTGCGTCCGTGCGTCCGAGCGTCCGT